CAGAAAACCAAATCTAACAATAGCATAAACATTTATACAGAAGTGCTTACCAGAAACAGATTCAACCAGAAAACCAAATCTAACAATAGCATAAACATTTATACAGAAGTGCTTACCAGAAACAGATTCAACCAGAAAACCAAATCTAACAATAGCATAAACATTTGTACAGAAGTGCTTACCAGAAACAGATTCAACCAGAAAACCAAATCTAACAATAGCATAAACACTTGTACAGAAGTGCTTACCAGAAACAGATACAACCAGAAAGCCAAACCTAACAATGGCATAAACACTTGTACAGAAGTGCTTACCAGAAACCGATACAACAAGAAAATAAAACCTAACTATAGCATAAACACTTGTACAGAAGTGCTTACCAGAAACAGATACAACCAGAAAGCCAAACCTAACAATGGCATAAACACCTGTACAGAAGTGCTTACCAGAAACCGATACAACAAGAAAACCAAACCTAACAATAGCATAAACACTTGTACAGAAGTGCTTACCAGAAACAAATACAACCAGAAAGCCAAACCTAACAATAGCATAAACACTTGTACAGAAGTGCTTACCAGAAACCGATACAACAAGAAAACCAAACCTAACAATAGCATAAACACTTGTACAGAAGCGCTTACCAGAAACAGATACAACCAAAAAACCTAACCTAACTATAGCATAAACACTTGTACAGAAGTGCTTACCAGAAACAGATTCAACCAGAAAACCAAATCTAACAATAACATAAACACTTGTACAGAAGTGCTTACCACAAACAGATACAACCAGAAGATCAACCCTAACTATAGCATAAGAAAAGGGAAGATGTGATCTAAGGCCTTCATGTTTTGGATTCCCATTTGGAAGGGTATATTCACCTGGAGATCGTCCTTACACATCCGCTCCTCTTCCACTGACATGCGTTTTTCATGCTTCTTGAAGTATTTCCGCTTGGCAGCTTGGAGATTAAACCACGTGTAGGAGAAAGCTTTAACATGAGGCAGGAGAGCCTCGATAAATGGGTGGAATTCATCCTGAAAAATCAAAAAGTAGAAATTAGTTAACTACGTGAGATTGCAAAGAAAAGTTTAAAATATCGTAGTTTGTGATAACAATACAATCATGTTATTTTACTGATAAATTATCGAAAACACTATTCTAGTCTAACATCTCAGAACTATTTAATTATTTCTCACCCAACACTTTCATTAGGGTACGGTTATATCTGCACCTCCTCAGCATACGTTTCTGTGGGATTGGTGAACAAATAAACCTTTGATTATAAGATGTTCGTGAATTAACTTAACCCCAGAATGTATATATTAAGGTTTCCATAAATAGCTATAAATACACATCTAAACCAACAACAATGTCTGCAGTCACACGTGTAAACCAACAACAACAATGTCTGCAGTCACACGTGTAAACCAACAACAATAATGTCTGTAGTCACACGTGTAAACCAACAACAATAATGTCTGTAGTCACACGTGTAAACCAACAATAACAATGCCTGTAGTCACATGTGTAAATCAACAACAACAAAGCCCTTTTGCCAGACGTGTAAGCCAACAACAACAATGCCTGTTTGCATACGTGTAAACCAACAACAATGTCTGTTTGCATACGTGTAAACCAACAACAACAATGTCTGTAGTCACACGTGTAAACCAAGAACAACAAAGCCCTTTTGTCACACGTGTAAACCAGAAACAATAATGTCTGTTGTCACACGTGTAAACCAACAACAACAGTGTCTGTTTGCATACGTGTAAACCAACAACAACAATGTCTGTAGTCACACGTGTAAACCAACAACAACAATGTCTGTAGTCACACGTGTAAACCAACAACAACAAAGCCCTTTTGCCACACGTGTAAACCAGAATCAATAATGTCTGTTGTCACACGTGTAAACCAACAACAACAATGCCTATTGTCACACGTGTAAACCAGAAACAATAATGTCGGTTGTCACACGTGTAAACCAACAACAACAATGTCTCTTGCCACACGTGTGAACCAGAAACAATAATGTTTGTTGTCACACGTGTAAACCAACAACAACAATGCCTATTGTCACACGTGTAAACCAACAACAACAAAGCCCTTTTGCCACACGTGTAAACCAACATCAGTAATGTCTGTTGTTACATATATAATCCAACAATAACAGCAATGCCTGGTATCACACGTGTGAACCAACAACGTCTGCTGTAAACCAAGAATAATGGCTTTGTCACACGTATAAACCAGCAACATCAATGTCTGTTGTCACACGTGTAAACCAATAATAACAGTGCCTGTTGTCACACGTGTAAACCAGCAACAATAATGTCTGTTGTTACATATATAATCCAACAATAACAGCAATGGTTAAGGTTAGAGTTCATAGTTATATACACTTTACATGGTTGCGATCAGAGTTCATCGTTTTATACTTTAGATGGTTGAGGTGAGAGTTCATTGTAATATACCTTACAAGGTTGAGGTGAGAGTTCATTGTAATATACCTTACATGGTTGAGGTGAGAGTTCATTGTAATATACTTTACATGGTTGAGTTGAGAGTTCATTGTAATATACTTTACATGGTTGAGGTGAGAGTTCATTGTAATATACCTTACATGGTTGAGTTGAGAGTTCATTGTAATATACTTTACATGGTTGAGGTGAGAGTTCATTGTAATATACCTTACATGGTTGAGTTGAGAGTTCGTTTTGATATACTTTACATGGTTGAGTTGAGAGTTCATTGTAATATACTTTACATGGTTGCGATCAGAGTTCATCGTAATATACTTTACATGGTTGAGGTGAGAGTTCATCTTGTCGGTTTTAAGAAGACACACATCTTCCTTATCAAATTGTTAAAAATGGTTCGCGCACTAAACGGAGTCATAGAAGTATTTATATTTAGTTACGTATTTAGCAAATATTATTAGTAAATAGTAAAAACGTCAAGGAACAACTCTCCTAGGAGTTTAACTGTTTATTCTTGTTTATATTCGTTTGTTAAACCCAATTTGTCGCATGTTTTCAATAAAATAAGTACACCAAGGATTCCATCCGAACTAAAGGTTTTGATCTTTTCTACTGTCTTTTTCCTTTCTTTTGTTTTTGATAGTTAAACCTCGTTACGTTATAGGGAGGGTGAAAATGCCTGAAACGTCATCCAACGACAAGAATTTGACGGTTTCTTCTCTACTGTTAAATATTAATATAATGTGACGTAATAACCGTACAATTTTCTTTTCTCTTCGTTACGTCAATCTTCACGAATGTTTTATGTAAAATTGGTCGACCACAGTCTAGCATCAAGGAAGCTGTTCAATCATGAAGTAACTAGGAAGTCATGCTTATCTTAGAAAGAACTGGGCCCTCCAAGGTCGCCTAGTTACTCAAGGACACCCAGTCCTTGCGACAGTGAAAACAGAAATGTTGGGCCTTGCCGAAGTCTGACACAAAAATAGTTTTTACATCAACTGAATCAATACGGAATTTGTGGTTCGGATAACTTGTTCTTGTATATGTTCATTTTCTACGAAACACGATATATTAGTAAGAATTACATTAAGAACAGTTTCAACATCTAAACCAAAAACGGCAGTAGGAAATTGAATGAAAATTTTCACAACTAAACCAACAGAGCGTTAAATAACAATTTAATGTTATATTGTTGTCATTGCTTAAGGTGTTGAAATTCTCATTTAATGTTATATTGTTGCCCTTGCTTTAGGTGTTGAAATTGGAGAATTTCAACACCTTAAGCAATGACAACAATATAACATTAAATGAGAATTTCAACACCTTAAGCAATGACAACAATATAACATTAAATGAGAATTTCAACACCTAAAGCAAGGGCAACAATATAACATTAAATGAGAATTTCAACACCTTAAGCAATGACAACAATATAACATTAAATGAGAATTTCAACACCTTAAGCAATGACAACAATATAATATTAAATTAGAATTTCAACACCTTAAGCAATGACAACAATATAACATTAAATTAGAATTTCAACACCTTAAGTAATGACAACAATATAACATTAAATTAGAATTTCAACACCTTAAGTAATGA